TGTATTCTCAACTTCAAAACATTCTGTTTGTTGTTCTTGAAACCACATTTTGACTAATTTGGTGATTTAATTAAAGTCATTTTCTTTTTGGATGTCCCATTTTTGCACAATTTTTCACTTTCTAAGTGATGATTATCATGGTACTTAAACATGTCTGCATTATATTATTTTATCATGGTGTTCATTTTGTGAAGTGGACTAGTCAGACCATAAGCAAAAACCTTACCCCAGTTTCACTGGGGCTAATGAAACTCATTAGCTTCAACCAGCATTTTCAGTTTTTGACTCTCTTACTGGGCCTGGAACACATAATTTGGAGATAACATGGTCATCTCTAAGACAAAGAACTGTATGAGCTACTGAAAATAAAGGTTACCCGCCAAAGCCACATCACATTCACAGAAAACAGCAACTTTAAATTTCTTAACCATGGGTGGCCGTCGAGATGCCCGATACTAAACAAAACCATCTGTTTCCAGCCTCTGAAGTTGCAGCATTCAAACTAGATCATCAGCAAACATCAAACAGACTTTGATCTCCATCTAAATGAACACCTAGGAGTATAAAGTTTGTCTAAATGTGCCCCACACCCAGGTCTACAGCGTGGATAGTAAAGCAGGTTGGGAGCAGATTGCCTGGAGGTTTGGACACCTGTGAGCTGGAGTTCGACTTTGTGGCAGCAGGATTTACTGCTCCACCTGAAATTACCTTCACATTGTGTGTGTGTTTTCCCACCGTCATTATGAAACACTAGACAGAAACGTCTCGTTCATCCTGATCACACTTTCTCTCATCTTTGCACCTTGCCTCTAATTTGCGTAAGAATAATACATAAAAATCAGCACTCCCACATATGTGCAAATTAACTCATTACGTGTACTTTTAAAGCACGGCCACTGGGAACAGTTTGTGTGAAACATTATAGGAATGAGCTTCAGTGATGAAAATTTATGTTTTAAACTTAATACATGCTTTTAAAATAAGGGAGCTTAATCTTGGAAAAAGTGTCTTTCAACCACAACTTTCAGAGTACTTGCTTGGGATATTAAGTAGAAGATTTTATTTGTCAAGTGGTAGAAAATTACATGATTTTTTAAAAAAAGATAAAAATAAGAAGTTTTGTGTACATATCAGTTCAGCCCCCATTACTCTGATGATCCTGAATAAAATAAGTAATTTTGTAATTTTCTGACACAGTAAACATATGAAAGTAGGTGCTAGTTATTTTTTCTCCTTCTTGCACAAATACTATTTCAAACAGGAGTAAGTACAGTAGAATTGTTATTTATGTCAGGCCAAGCCTACTATCAAATGCATGCAGGCATCAACTGCACTGAATTGTGACTCTTTGAAAGGACTCAAAAATAAATAAATGTTTGATTAATGACAGGGACAGTTTCATTTGCAAAAAAAGAGAAAATTCTGTAAAAAAAAACAAAAAACAAAACAAAAAAAAGATAGTTCCATTAAGATTTTGCTAAACTTATTTTTTGTCTCAGTCTATGCTACTTTGTTTTATTCTATCAGATGGAATCCTAATTAAAACACATTGAAGTTTGTGGTTGCAATCTGACAGTATAAAAAAGTTCAAGGTGTATTTTTGAAAGGCACTTTTGAATTGTCACATTTTGGTATTCTACTATGGTACTAATCAAGACAGCTAATACCGTGATTTACAAAAAGTAAATGTTCTTAGAGGGTGCAACTAATTAAAAAACAGAAAAAAATAAAACTCATAATCAGCTTCAATGTATTCAGCGACATTCCGCACTTCTTTATTCTGTGCTTTGGCAGCATGAACTCAAACAGTGCTTGATTAAAACCTGTCTGATCCGAAAAGAAAACATAATGCTCATCCTCATTATGTAAATAGCTGCTGTCCCGTCTTATATTATTCCCAAAAAGGACTCAATAAATGTGAATTGTATTTTACAAAGATGTCTAACATGAGCATAGATGTCTTCAGTTGTAAAGTGTTTTGTTTCTTTAAAACTTGGCAGGTGAAGTAAATCTCTTTTTCACACTATTCTGTGTGAGTGTGGGTGAGACAATATCAAACTGTGAGGAGGCATTTCAGTGGCAGGAACATGGAGATGTGCGAGAGCAAGAAGGAAAAATATAACGGCCCGTTTTTTCTGGAATATCTGTTTCATTTTATAGGGCAAAATCATTTCTCAGGATATGCTGAACACTATGCAGGTATATGACAGTTTTTGGCTCCGTCTTCAGTGGTAGCCTACAGTCGACCCCCACCTACTTCGGGTTCAGTATTCATTGATATTTCCCAAACATGTTTGGAGAAAATCTGTTTTTCACTGATTGTTTTTGTAGAGCATAGCTAAAATATTCAAAAGAAGATGCAATTTTTCTTTTGAGATATGTACGTCCAATACTATTAGAGACACTATTGGCTGGTGTTTGCAAAACAGCCAAAACAACAACCAGAGACCATCTATTACAAAATCGTCCAAGAAGCACAGAAAAAAAGTACATTCACCAGAAAACCTGCTCTTAAGAACATTAAAAGCAGTAGGTGTGAGAAGACTGGGACAGATGTAACAATGCATAGAAAACACATTAACCACAAGCAGACAATAAATAAGGAAAGCAAAGTGCAAAAAAAAAAAAAAAAAAAAAACAGAAAACATGGCCAAAAATCCTAAAGAAATTAGCAGAATGAGAAGCCCTATTTACAAAGAAACTAAAACAAAGAGAGATTACTGGGTGCGAACATACAAAGCAATAGAAAAGGACTTGGAAAAAGAAAAGCAAAATGCAAAAAAATAAAAAATAAATAAGCAAATCAGAGCTCTCTGTGAAGCAACCTGCTGCTGCATCTATTTCAGGTCTTCGTTTTCCATTTATATGTGCTCACAGTCCTATAATTAACACAGATTCATCAAGACACACAAAGCAGTCATCTGTATCTATGTATGTTCAGCTCGTCTTGTTACAGAAATGACTGACTCACAGCAAAATGATCTCCTTTTCACTAATTACGTCCAAGTCAGGAGGCCAGCTCATGAGAGAAATTTGATTATTTTAAATTGAATGCGGTTTTGTGAAATTTCCCTGAAAGGTTCAAAACTAGTTGATTACAAAGAAATAATTTGACTGTCTGCTTTGCTGTCAAGAATCTGAATCACTCTATAAAGATCCAAACATTTAGTCTTGATTTCAGATTTCTCGCTTTTTAAGAAGTTTCGATACTGTTTTTTTTAATGTTCAGTACCTTCCTCTGCTGTTGTGTGAACATTTTGCTAATGCTTTGCAAATTTGTAAAAAAATACATTTAAATCTTCCTGAATCCTGGCATTATATTTGCTAAGCGTTTTGTGAAAAAACAGTTCCTCTTGTTGTTTTATTAACTTAATTTTCCATTTTGTTGCTCCTGAACCAATAACTCTGCTTGCTTGGCAACTCAGTCAGCATTTACAGAGAGTATAATTCAGATGTAAACATTAACCCTGGAATGAGAGCCTAAGAATTCTGGTTAATAAACTACCCCTATTTTATTAACATAAGAACTGGTGGAATGCAATGATAAGAGTCTCAGACATCCAGAAAATACTTGGAATTTAAAAACTTGATGAGTTGGAACATGTTGGCTGTTGCTGTGCTTGCATCCATGCTGTGACACCATTCTGGTTCACAGATCTATGAACAATTCTTTCAGCCTCATGGTTTCTGTTTTATTATGCCATCTGCGAGCTCTAGTCAATTTGAGGAGAGATCTAAAAAATCACTTTAGTGACTTGGTGAATAATTTGATTGAACCTGATGCCTTCAACACATAGGGGTTTGTCTGTCATCAGTGAAAAAAAAAAAAGGAAAGTTTTTGTTTTGTAATTTGGAACATTTTTAATAGACCAATTATAATGAGTAAAAAAAATACATTAAAATGTAATAAATCTGTATGTCTGACCTCTATTTCATAATAACACTGCAGTTAGCGTCTCTAAACCCCATCACATTTATTGATATCCATGGTAAAGGTGCGTAAAAGGCCTAACAATACTGTTAAAGTTTAGATTAGTAGTTATGTTTTTGTAGCTGTTTCCCAACAGAACAACAGGAATGAACAACATTAAATGTTCTGTTGTACTGTATTTACCCTTTTTAAGTGACTAAGATAAATTTCTGTCATGTTTATTCCCCCAAGAAAACAGGAAGCTTTGGATCACCTGATTCAAGTGACTCCTGGATCTTCTCTTAGAAAAAAATTCAACAGGTTTAATTTGATATTTAATGTATGACATTATCATACTGAAGTAAAAGATCTATTTCCTTTCAAATGTCTTTGCCGCAAGTGAAAATCCGGTTTAGATTAGCATAAAAGAAAAATAACTGCTAGCTTTGTATGAACATGTTTGTGGTTATATATGTCACAGATGCTGGTTAACAGCTTTTTATTAAGGAGTTGTTTAAGTCACTTGTATAGGAGGAAAAGGCCACAAGTTTGTAAATTCAAATATGAGAAAGTAATTGAGCTGAGGAGAAGTGATTTCAGCAGATATGCTGCAGATTATCCGCTTGTAACTGAATAACTCGCAGGTCTTCATATACCCCAGCTAAATCCGTAGTTAAGCATGTATAAAAGATGTGGTAGCAGATTTTGACAGAAAATCACAAAGGTAATTATTTTTTTGCATATTTATCAGTGTTAATTGTATTCATATTATGTAGTACTTGGAAAACTTTTACAAATCACTTTGTTAGCTTGCGTAGTTACAAATTGAACTAAAAATTGAAAGTTTTTTCTACATTTCTGTAAAAAAAAGAAAATTCACATTTGTTACATTTGATAGAGCTTCAGTGACATTTGGATAAAATCTGTGGTACTGACTTATATCACAGGTTTTCTCTTCAGTCACCAACAGTGATCATTATTTATAATAAACTTACCGTGCAATACCATGGTAAAGACCAGTGCATTAACTATTGTGATTAAAAGCAAATCCAGGAGTTTTGCAGAAAAAGAAAAAGCAGTGAAAGGATACCGGTGGTCCAGACGGTGCCATAGGCTTTGTGATGTGTCCTGCCTCTCCGTATCAACCTGTAGACCAGATGAGAAGCAATATTACTCTTTAGTCACAAAAACCCTCTCCAAAGTGTCTACTATGTTATGGGAAGTGATGAAAGCCGGCACTCCTGGGCAGCCTGAGGGGCCATATATCCACTCATCTCCACTTACACAAGTGATACCTCTGGGCAACCATAGTGGAAACATCACAATCTCATAACCTGCACAATCAGTGAGGCCACAGCCTGAGATTCTCCTGAACGGACTCACACCCTGGGCAAGGTTACAAAAACAACAGACCATGGCCTCGTACCTCCAGCGGGATGCATCTTCAGCCTTGACAGCCCCATCTTTCTTAGGCCAAACAATGCAAAAGAGATTCACAGACTTCTTCTGACTCATACCATGCAGATAAGAGAAAGATTACGAGAAAAAAAAATGAAAGCGATATGCTAAAGAGCTGCTGAGATGCACCAGTGATGAGGTGAGAAGTGTTTGTATGCGTAGATGTGTCCATGCAAAAAAAACAAAAACAAACAAAAAAATCCCCAGCAGCTTTTACTTGTGCAGTATGGGATAAGGTACACATTTCAGACCGAAGGTAATAATTTTGGGTAGTATTTAAAAAAAAAGGAAATAGCTAGGCCTCTTATGTGTGCAGAGTCAGAAAATAAAGTTTAACAGCCTCTACACACAGCATGTATGAAAAATATCTGCTGACACCTTTCATTCTAATGTTATTAATATGCTTTTCTTTAAAGGAAATAAGTAAGGGCTCCTCCTCAATGCCTCTGTGATTAGTCGTGTCTTTTCTTTATGGGGATATTGCTACATGTCCACAATCATTTTTCCAAAGCTTATTTGGAAAAGAATGTTTTCTACTGGAAAACGTTTCTAAGATAAACTTGTGATGGGTATGTAAACCAGTCCTCTCATTTGCATTTGGATCAAGTACTTCTTTGATAATCAGTGACTGGCATATTTATTTATTTATTTTTTATCACATAGGTCATAAGTCAATGCAAAGCTGGGAGGGAAAAATTAAAAATGGAGACTTTAGTGAAAAAAATTCACAGATATGTTTAATAATGAAAAAATGAATTCTTTATCTTTTACCTCAGAGGAAACATCCTGAAGGTTGCCATCCGTCTCCTCTTCGACTCTATAGTAAGATACAAAAAGGTTCAGTAACACCCTGACTCAGTGACATAAAACATAGAAAGGGCTCCTCCCTAACGCCTCTGTGATTAGTCATGTTTTTTCTTTATGGCGATATTGCTACCATTACCTTAGTATACTTTGATTTTCTGTCCTATAGAATTTTCTTCTTGACCAGTTTTTATGTGTTCAGCTTTGTCTTGCTCCTGGATTGAGTGACTGACAGTGCTACTGCTGACATTAACGTTGTGTCCTTTTTTTGTGAGCTATGGAATGTACTTGGTTCTCACTGCTTAAGTGCTTTTAGTTCAGAAATATGACTAAAAATGTGAAAAATGATTCTGTGTTTTCTGGGCAGAGTAACTGTAGGAGGAATTGTTGCCAATAACTTTGTATAATATTTTTCTTGGATGTAGAAAGTACCCCAGGCTCTGGACTTCATCATTTAGCTATCTGTCCTTCTGGGCCACAGACACACTTTTGACTTCTATTAGTTTGTGTACTATAGTTTGACTCTGCGCTAATGTGTGTAGCTGTCTTTTCTTTTCTTTTTTCTTAGTGGGGGAGCTGACATAGACATTGTTCCCATTAACTGTGGGTACTCTTTTTACTTTTCTACTTATGGGCCAGTGAGTTTTTTTTTTTTTTTTTTTTTACGTTGCTCTCTTATCTCCCAGGGTGGCCCTGCTGGAGTTTTATTTAATGGTGCCACATGTTCATACAGAATGAGGGATTGCAGAAAATGCAGCTGACTACATGGACTGAGGTGGGTTCTGTACCAACTGGCATCATATGATCAACAAAATTTTAATATGCTACAATTTAGATTGACCTTCATATACAATTTGTCATAATTCTGATTATATGTTTCTACTGTACTTCAATAAACTGCTCTTGACATGAACTGAATTGGGATCAATTAAAATCTATCCAGTTGGATACACATCTGGCCTTTTGCATTGTAAATAGCCTTTGCAATATACTTCTCATTAATAGCTGCTTTAAAAACAAAACAAAAAAAATCGAGTGAACTGAATTTAACTGAACAACAAAAAGACAGAGACAAATCTCAAGGGTTTTCATTTCCAGATTGTTTGACGCTTTAGTTTGAAAAGCCGAACATGCACAGCAAGGAACACGAATGAAGTATGAAAGTCATTTTAGAACACCAAACCGAGATTTGAAAATGACCCGTCAGGCACCTTCACCAAAATCACCCACTTCTTCTACATCAGACCAGGAAAATGCCAGTGGGGTGAAACCTTTCATAAATGACAAAGCAGAGCAGGAATCATCAAGACATGCTACAGGCTGCTGTGATTACGTTGCATCGGCTGCTTGGCTTGCTCACTTTGACTGAAAATACAGTGATGCAGCAGACTCTGAATGCCCAGTGAGCCGCTTCCTGGGAAAACAACAGCATCATCCTGCCTTTCATTCACCCCACTAATCCATGTGAACTCATTGGGCCTTGGGAGTAAAATGTCTCACGGAGCATAAATGGCTGCTGATGTTTGCTCCTACAGGTCAGCAGTTAACTCTAGCAGCCCAGTAGTGCTGCTCAGGACACTTTGAGATATCCTACTGCTATTTATCACCATGTGTCTGTGAGGCTTTTGAATGTGCTGACACAAAAGGCCTATACCAGCAGCTCCCTGCAATAACCGCCCAGGAGGTTCTCATCAGAGCAACAAAGTGCTGCAACAACTTAATGCTGTGCACATTTGGGTCTTGGCTGCCCTCCCTCCACAGCCCAGCTCCGTCTCACTGTTTATTTAGAACAGACTTAAGATATTGCCTCTGAGATCATTATTCTTTATCATGTTGATGTAACTTAAGCATGTGGATAGGGAGTTAGGTCAAACTGAGCTTTTTGGTATGCAAGCTAAATTCTAAAACTAACACTATACATCCAATAGCTATGTTCAAATATAGTGGGGACAGCGTTATGCTTTGGGGACGTTTTTCTTCTGCAGTGACAGAGAAGCTGATCAGCGTTGGTTGGAAGACAGATGGAAATACATAGATTGAGATTGTTAAAATACCTGAGGCAGTAATAGGGAAGGTAAAGCACATTGACCTTCCAGCATAGCTCCAACTCTATCGCCAGAAATCCTTTAAAATGGTTTAGATCAAAGCATGTTCATGTGATAAAATGGTCCAGGTAAAGTTGTCACTTAAATCCAACAGAATATATGTTGTGAGATTTGCTTTTCTCAACAAATCCTAAAATATATCTTGCAAAGGAAGAATGGACAAAGCATTCAGCTTGTAAACGTACAAAGCTTTTGGAAGAATCTTTGAACAGACAGGCAGCTGTATTTGCAGCAAAATGTGATTATTTTTATATTTTTATATGGAAAACATTTTGAAAATTTCATGTCTCATTCCATACTTTTTGTTCAGGGTCTATTGCATTAAATCCAAATAAAATTTGCTGAAGTTCAGTGTTGTATTATGACAAAATGTGAATAAATTCAAGAGGTATGGACGCTTTTCCAATTCATTGTAGCGTCTTTTTTTCTGCTTTTTTTTCAGGCAGTTTTCTCTCCCGTTTTTACACCTATTTTACATCACCTGCTGTCTGCAGTAATTTGTCTCCCTTTTTATCTTCTCTACATCCACTTCTCCCTGCTTACTCTTCCTGTTTTTATAACACCTCCTTTAAATTCTCTTCCTTCACACCTTCAACTCTCAGCTCCAGTTCTAATTATTCAGCCAACACATGACCCCATTCTTCTTTTCAGAAGAAAAGCAAGAGGAAATCGAGTCGCACAAGAGTTTTGGTAAGTAGTTGCGCAAGATTTGTGGCTTACAAGCACAGTTATGTTGGCTCAGCTATGGAGTTATTGTTTTTACTGCTGCTTTACACCGTAGTGGAAATTGCTGCAGGATGTGGCAGGCCGTGACAGGCTTGAGCGATGCACATGACACAGCACCTTTGTCTGGTGGGACATATTCCATATCAACAGGCTGCGTCACCGAGCTGATGGAGAGAGGAATGGGCAGGTGAGGTGTGAGGGAAAGAGGAAAGACGGATCCTGAGACGTAAGCATGATAGAGGATGATCGGTGATGACTTGACAGTGACAAGATGGGTTGATGGGTTGCCGGAGAATGTGAGTAAAAGACTGAGCAGGAGGCGGGCCAGAGCAGTTTGAGAAAATGACGTGCAAGAAGATTCAAGGGAGCTGCGTTTTTTTTTCCAGTACCAAAATGTAAAAACAAAGAAGATACTGTTTTTGTGTGGAGAGGTTGCTTTGTGACTTGTAGAAAATATTTAGCTGTAGATCGGCCTCCTTTATCATTTCAATAAAATCTAACAATACTGGTGGATGTAACATGCCGAACAAAGTACAGGAAATTTGGCAACAATAAACAAACAATGAGAAGACGATATAAAGTGTACGAGAGATGGAACACAAGAAACTTTGCATCGATACGTATCCATTTCAGGAAATAGAGAACAATAAATATCAGCCCAGTTGCCACAGCATGATGTGAAGCCCTGATAGTCCCGCCTGGCTCCCAAAACAAGGTCGAGCTCTCCATTTTGCTGGGAAAGCACACCCCACACAAATAACACCCACTCAAAGAGAAGCGCACAATAGCTGTAAGTTGATCTCCTGCAATCTGGCTAAAACTGTGGGACTGAAATGTGCAACGAATCCAAAAGAAAAGCCTCTGCTCCTCCATCTGAGCTCTTGTGTGCTGATAAAATCTGGACAGTCTGCCTCTGAGGTCAGTCGTGATTCAAGCGCTTCTTGACTCACTGCAGCACATTACAGCACTTTGCACAAGGCCTTCGCTTCCAAGTCATCCACCTGTTTTTAATCAAGATTTCAAGGAATACCTTCATAGTTCCAGTACCTCATTTTGTTTACATCAATTTGCCAAATAAAATCAGACATGTAAAAACATCCATGCTTGCAAGTTAACACTTCCATTAGGCAGGATGAACAAGGACGGCTGTTCTAAGATGTGTATATGTGTGAATGTGTGCTTGTATCTCTGTGGCACCATCAGTCCATCTGATGTTGGCGTAGATGATAAAGCCTGGCTGTTTGTGTTTACATAATGAACAGGAAGAAGATCTCACAACTTTACTGTAAAGGATTTAACCAGCCCTTAGGAAAGTAAGGTATGACAAACATGTCCTCTAGCTTACAAACTTTCTTCTATAAAGCTCTTCAACCTGTTTCCCTCCCTCTGTTTCAGCCAGAGGGTGAGGAAAAAGAGGAATTTAAAAAGGAGTGGGAGATGTTAAAGATAAAAACAAAGGAGGCTCACAGGGAATGTGTTGAGGTCTTTTTTCAACACATCGTTTAGACCAAAGAAATCTGTAAGCCATCATTGGGGTTTTCTGTTCCCGACTCCCACTGGGTTGCTTTTTCCCTCTGGAGACACTGAAAACATACTCGATGGTGTACAATGCACGTCAACAGGAACTGGAATAAGCAACAACCACAACACATTTACAGCCCAGTGCAATATATACAAAGAGAATACAGTGTTAAAAACACAAATCAAAATGGACATTTTAGTCACTCAGCTGTTAAAGATCATATCTTCTTGGAAAGAAAGTGACAGAAACATTTCACTTTTTCTTCTTATATGACTTTAATTAATTAAAGAAAATCTGATATTACCACAGAACTCTGATAACTTTCCTGATAGACACTATGCGGATTTTGGACTTAATAAAACACGATGAACCAACACCAACAGATTCTGAACCACTCTAATCTTTATCCAAATACTTTAATGCTCAATTAAAATTTTAAATGTTCTTCTGAAAAAGAAGGCCTTAAACAACTATGCAACATATATTTTTTTTCTATTTAGCCCCATTAGGAGAGCTCTGATCCTCTCTAGTTTATCGCAAGGAATACAACAGTTTGAGCGCAAGTTCTACATACACTTCAGTCGCAGTCCACACCTTATGAATCTCTACCAAAACCTTAAATAGGCTTGGCTTCTCAGTCCTCTAACAGTTGCCATAATT